TATATTTTAGATTTGTTTACAATAATTTAATACTAAACAAACACAGTGAAATATATTTTTTTCGTTAGGTTCAGAATGATTTTGGAGAAATTATTGCATACACAAATTTTCACTTGTCCTATATGGCAAGATGAACGTTGCTATTTAAGCCAAGATCGCAAGTTCTGCCTATTCGGCACGACATATATATATATATGATGGGGTCCACCTCTGGTGTAAATTGTGGGACCCATAGCCTCGGAGAAGTGGATAAAAAGGCTTCAAGGAAAAATATTTGGATTTCTTCCTGAAGCCGTTTGAATATTCCACTTCCCCTACCACCCCATCTTTTGATATATATATTTTTTTTACTAATAGGAATATTTTATTACATAATATGGTACAGAAGATTTAAGAGATACATTGTTGATATAAAGGTGGCATATACGGTACATGTTGTTACGTGTGTATCACCGATTATAAGGCGAAAATCTCATCCAGCTCCTCAGAGCTGGGGCGTGTGCCCCAGAGAGAGAGAGAGAGAGAGAGAGGTGGTGTTGATATCGCCTCATTATGTCATCACAGCTGACTCATTAATTTTCCACTTACATTTACAAATTATGCTAACTATAATGGGAGAAGTTTATTAGTCAGTTTGATGGTTAATGTTTTTAACATCTTGGAAAGTAACTGAACTGTCTTGCACACATCTAACTGATTTCTAAATAACTAGCAATAATTCCCACTGTACATAGTGAAGTCTTATGTCGCTGATATCTGTTCTATTCATTTGATGTTTTGTTTTTCTCTGTGATGATATGCGCAGTGAGGTTTATTTTTTAATGTCATATGCAATTCCATTTAGCCATTTTGAAAATCACTCAACATTTTGATTTGGCTAGAGCTGTTCTGCTTGATTTAATTGGTCTCTTAATTTTTCAGCGAAAGAGATGCCCGTGTTGTGATCTGTGGATGAGTCAGATACAAGCTAAACGTTGCTATCAAATCTCATGGCTCACTTTAACTTGTATGATATAAACCATCATGAAAGAGCGTAGTGCCTCTGTAGTCTATTAGGTCAGGAATCCTGATAGCTCAATATAGAGGTTTCACAGGACGTGAGTGTTTTTCCCTCCTCATTCAACAAGGATTGTCAAGGACATACCCAACAGGCCAAGTGTCTATCCACAAGTATTATTGACAACTGGTAACTAAAAGACCCCCCTCCTCCCAACACACACACACACACACACACACACACACACACACACATTCACTTACCTACCTCAACCATCGCAACCTGATTCCATGTGTTCATGCCTCTGTGTAACTTGGAATACTGCTGACTGTGGAGAACATTTTAACTGTTTGCCCAAGGCAGTTTGTGTTTTTTTTCCAAATACCGGATTACCTGGAGGAAGTTCGGCGAATTTTTAAGGAACGTTTGTTTTTATTTAACAGTTGATGAATTTTTAATTGATGCGGGTTATTTTAATTTGATGTGATACTACTTAGTTTTGCTGTGTGCTTGTTAATGGTAGTGGTTTATATTTTTCTTACATCACAAATAACCCCGCACATAGGAAAGATGACCTTACGACGATGTTTCGGTTCGACTTGCATGAACCGGCCGAAACGTCGTGGTAAGCTCCTCTCTCCTATGTGCGGGTTGTGTATTGTTCCAGTCACGGTATTGTGCCTTTTTTGTTCTTTTTGTTACATAATTTTACACTAGGTGCTTTTAAGTAGGTTTGTATTTATCTTTGTATTGCCAAGAACGCCGAGTGACCTCGCCTTGGCCTCTCCCTCAGCCAGTTATTTAAGAGGTAAAATCTCTGAAATTATTAATATCTGTATCGAAATGTTGTGTCTTGTTTGGAAATGTTTTGATATCATATTTTTTTTCATTTTGATCGAATACGTTTTTGAAAAATAATGTAAAATTGGGTTTGAGTGTATGATTAATTTTAAATTTGTTATGAGTTTCAAGGAGCTACTCCATAAATAAAACAAAAAAAGTATTGAGGAATTCTTCAGCTTCCCAAGCCAAAATATTGAAGCGCAAATAAGTTGGGTGGTGGTATACAGGAAGACATTAAATTTTCAGACCTTCATTAATGTTTCAGACGTTGCACAGGTAAATATTAGCTAAACCAGGAGGTCCTTGCATCGCTGGCTTCAATTAACCATTACACAGATTCCTGACCCGAGGAGTATAGTACGTTATACAGCACCTGACCTTTTGTGTAGGTGCATTATACAGTTGCAGGCACTGATTATGTCCTGTTGAGGTTAGTTTGTGGTGTAAATATCAGGTAGAGAATTAAGAATAGAGAAATTAAAAGACGGTGTGGTGGAATGAGTTGTTAAGATGATTTGGCACAACAGTGGTGGTGGTGGTCCTAGGAAGGGTTGGACGGAGGGTGTGAAGGTCTTCGGATATTAAAGCATGAACATCCAGCAGACATGTGTGAACCTTGGCAACTCGGAGTCAGTGGAGACAAGTGGTTTTGGAGTGTGCAATTTAACATCTGCAAAGATAAAATCTATTAAGTTAACATCTATAAAAATGGAATCCGGTAAACTAGATATGAGAACTGGAGGTGGAACGTAGAGAGCCCTCCACTCTGAAGGATGAGTGGGAATGTTGTTGCTTGTTGGATGTTTTGGACTTTGATAGATGTGCACTTCTAAAAAGATAGCTAGGGTTTGCGTGATATTTACTGCATTTTCATTTTTTTTCAGGAGGGATGGAGGTGGTTCAAACCTGTCATCAAGCACACAATAATCCTGTGTTCTAGCATTTAATTGAGGATGTGACGTCCACAATTTGACTGTCAACTCTGTTTCAAGCATTGTTAAGCAGGTGCCTGTGATGTCAATTAATAAGTTTTCTATAGGCATTCTCTCACTACCAATATTCTACATGAAGAGATATATTTTCCAGTAGTCAAAGCCATGTCAGAGTATACAAGATGAAGTGCTTATATACTTAAGAAACGTGACCAGTTCTGAGGTTCACACTACCGTCAGTGTCTTGTGCTTCCCACTCTTCCCTCTCTTTGTGTCTGCATTTAAATCTGCTGTTCACACTGTGTAGATAACTCCATTAGTTCAGGCTCTTGCTCAGACCAACCAGATTGTTTTCATTTTTATGAGTGTATTAATTACTTTCTGAATATTTATGGCCGTTGCCTCTTGTTGTCGAGGAGTGAGAATTGCAATAATGTTTGCATTTTATTGGCAAACCTGCTGTTGCTATTGCCGGTGCTGAGCGATACACCTGTGTGTGTGCTCACCAAATTGTGGTTGAAAGGGTCGAGTCATAACTCCTGGACCCGCCTCTTCACTGGTCGCTGCTAGGTCCTCTCTCTCCCCCTGTTCCATGAGCTTTATCATACCTAATCTTAAAACTATATATGTGTATGTAAGCATGTGTGTTTAATCACAAAATTAGTTTTTTTTTAGATTTTGTCACACGAAATGGCTAGTTTATTGTGCATCCCATATCTATCCTATGGAGGGTAGCGCAAGAGCATATGGATACACAAAAGGCCTACGAACTAGGCCCTAAAAGGGTTAACAGGAGTACATTTGGATTTATATATACAGTACACTTATCTGTTACAAACAAATTTAGGAAATTTGCTTAATATATCTGGTATCTTATATTCATTATTAAGTTATTTTGACATGTCACATATTATTATAATAAAAAAGAAGCGCTAAACCCACTAGGGAGATACAACGCAGCGACATGTCACATACGTGGTGTCCCATCTTCAGTAATTTTTTCAGCATATAAATTTTAGAACATTTTGACGGTTATAGCATTTATTACATACTCTTTTCATTTATTCATTTCATTGGTTTATCACTTTGTGAAGACAAATTTTCTTGTATCTTTTTGGGTCAGCTTTTTTAATCACTAAAAAGTTGCGGTCTCTTGTCCCTGTTGGAGGACTAAGAAGTCTTTTATATCTGTTGTCTTAAGTCATTCTATAACCTTATGCGTGGTTATCATGCCTTATATTTTCCTAATAGTAGTCAACGTGAGCATCATTAGCACTTACGTATAGTGATTCATCATAACTCATTTTTTTCAGCTCTGGTACCCATTTTGTAGATCTTTTTGGGGCTTTTCCTAAATTATTCATGTATTTATCTAAGTGTATGTACCACATAGATGCTGCATATTTTGTTGTTTTATCAGAGCAAAACTTCATCCATTTATTTGAAACTAATATTTATGTTTGCCATTGTAGCATACGAGTTTAATTACAATTTAATTTACTTGGCAGTTATTTTAGTAATAACCAATAGCTCTCTCTCTCTCTCTCTCTCTCTCTCTCTCTCTCTCTCTCTCTCTCTCTCTCTCTCTCTCTCTCTCTCTCTCTCTCTCGCTCTCGCTCTCGCTCTCGCTCTCTCTCTCTCTCTCTCTCTCTCTCTCTCTCTCTCTCTCTCTCTCTCTCTCTCTCTCTCTCTCTCTCTCTCTCTCTCTCTCTCTCTCATGCTTTCTTCATGTGGCTTCATTTCGCTTTCTTTCATTTCATACATCTCAGAGCTTCGTCAACAAAGTGAGTTCGTCACAAAGGCCAGTGCATTGTTGCACTTTTTATTACTAATGTACTATTTATGTAGGTTTACTTTTATTTTGCCCTAGGGGAAAGTGTATGATAAAGGGAATGAAATAATGTGGAAATAAATCTTTGTGTACACACACACACACACACACACACACACACACACACACACACACACACACACACACACACACACACACACACACACACACACACACACACACACATACATACACACACATACACAACATAATTACAGTTATAAATGGAGTAAATACGGACAGAATACACTTACGATGTTGGACAGGCAGATAGCATATTTAATACTTGTTAATTTCTTGACAAGATACTCTGTGGATTTAATCATAATTTATACGAGGAGAGAGCAGTATAGGATGCTATGTGGTTAAGTAGTAATGTGACTTTCTCTCCTGACAGAAGTAACAAAGTAACGACGGCTCATCTGAGAATCCTGGACAGTCTCCTGAGAAACTACGATCGCAGGGCGACCCCAACCAACCACAAGAGTAAGTCATCTCACTCTCTCCCAGACACAGGTTAGGGTAGGTAAGATTTGTCAGGAAACAGGACTAGTGTTTCCTAACGCGGGTGTTAGTCTTATGATGACCCGCAGCTTTTTATCATTTGACCGAGGTCTTCCGCTGGTTTACCGGTACACCCCTTTAAAAATTATGGCATTATATTTATAGTAAACTTACTTATACATCTTGCCTCTCCCAGGAATCCAAATCGGGTCCTTTCAGTTGTTAGCAGAGACCTTTACCACAGAGCTTCCCCTCAACTTGGTGTATACCGTAAGTTTCCAGGGATCGTGTTCTAATTCGTAGACAAATACCTGAGTTGTTCTGATGATTGTGCCTTGGCTATGGTCTTTTATTTGTTCATTGCAAGTCAAGCCAAGCCTTAACCGGGTTAAATTGGACTTGGCTTTCGTAACACCACCAGCTTAGTTGTCGAGAACACTGCGTGTGAAATTTTGGCCAGTTCCTATGCAAGATGTCGCCTGCTGCTACACTGCTAGGTTGTATCAGCTCTTAGCAGTGTGATACAAAGTCACTTATTAAAGGAGAACAAACCTTTATTACACAACGTTTTGCTCAGTGGTGAGTTTTTATTGTCATGATTTAAAAATAAATCGTATTCAAGAGAAACCTTGTGTATTAAAGATTAGGCTATAAATTATAATAGTGGTAGAAAAGTGTTAGGTTTGCTGGCAGAAAATATTTCTTAGCAACATTAAATGTTAACCACATGGTTAACATTTAATGTCAGCTACGTGGTTATACACATGGTTACAGTGCTATAAATTACACACGTCATCTGGATGGTTATGCAGTGTTGACTGGCAGAATGTGGCACTCTCGCTTGTGGCAAATTAATTATCTGGGCTTAATACATACACTAGAATTAGATCATACTAAACTGCTACTAATAATGTTCCACTTCACACGGCTTCTTGTTTTACTCATCGAAAGTCGTGTACACATACAACGACAAGTACTGTCTAGGTGCAGAATTTTTTAACTATTTTAGCGAGGAAAAGACGCTAGTTGAAGAATAAGCTTTAATAGGGATAACTCTGTAGAGTTTTATCAGAACAAAAACCTTGTCCCAATTGAAAACTGTTTTGCATCATGATTTTTCTTCACTATAATCGGCAGTGTGCTAGTAGGATTGAGTTTTTATGGAGGAACATATCTCAGATACTCTGTAAATGAAAATTGGTGTGGGAATTTATTGAGTTTCAAGAAATCCCACAAATCCATTGTAAGAAGCAGTAGAGGCCTTTAGAATCCACGCCAACAACGCATGAGTCATCACATAATTATTGATAGGTTTACACTAATTTGATAGATTACAGGTTTTAGGTAGAATTAGAATGTTACGAACTAATAAGAGAATTGAAAAATGTAATTTTAGGCTTTAACATATGTTCACACTAGGTAGAAATGAGTAGGGAATTAGATAAGTAATGACACCTAGCGGTTCTGCTGTGAATCAGTGGAGAAGGACACTGGTAGCCACCTTTGAGCAGGGACCGTGCTGAGAGCATCTCCTAAGTTTCTATCTCTTGAGTTCCACACGGTTTCCCAAGGTTACCTGACAGTTAACAACGTGCTTCAGAGGTCTTACAATGAATCGTGGATACGAGTCTCTGCGCCAGATCCGTTGGTAATAACTATTTACTGTATTTTGCCCCTTAGTCATGTGGCCACTAATACTGGGCGGGGAAATCAGGGATAGTTAACTTACAGTTAATAAGCGTGTCCATGACCAGCGATCAGGTAATTTGTAATTTATATTTATTACAGTTTACAGTTTTACTCCTGGAAGTGTTGTACTGCCTTACGAATTTATTAACTGCCTTACGAATTTATTAACTTTTTTCACTAAGGTATTTGAGGAGGTTGATCATGGTAACGAATATGATATTGTGTATATGGACTTCAGTAAGGCTTTTGACAGGGTCCCACATCAGAGACTATTGAGGAAAATTAAAGCACATGGAATAGGAGGAGAATTTTTTTCCTGGATAGAGGCATGGTTGACAAATAGGCAGCAGAGAGTTTGCATAAATGGGGAGAAATCAGAGTGGGGAAGCGTCACGAGCGGTGTTCCACAGGGGTCAGTGTTGGGCCCCTGCTGTTCACAATCTACATAAACGACATAGATGAGGGCATAAAGAGCGACATCGGCAAGTTTGCCGATGACACCAAATAGGCCGTCGAATTCATTCTGACGAGGACATTCGAGCACTCCAGGAAGATTTGAATAGACTGATGCAGTGGTCGGAGAAGTGGCAGATGCAGTTTAATATAGACAAATGCAAAGTTCTAAATGTTGGACAGGACAATAACCATGCCACATATAAAACTAAATAATGTAGATCTTAATATTACGGATTGCGAAAAAGATTTAGGAGTTCTGGTTAGCAGTAATCTGAAACCAAGACAACAGTGCATAAGTGTTCGCAATAAAGCTAATAAAATCCTTGGCTTCATATCAAGAAGCATAAATAATAGGAGTCCTCAGTTGTTCTCAACTCTATACATCCTTGGTTAGGCCTCATTTAGATTATGCTGCACAGTTTTGGTCACCGTATTACAGAATGGATATAAATTCTCTGGAAAATGTACAAAGGAGGATGACAAAGATGATCCCATGTATCAGAAACCTTCCCTATGAGGATAGACTAAGGGCCCTGAAACTGCACTCTCTAGAAAGACGTAGAATAGGGGGGATATGATTGAGGTTTATAAGTGGAAGACAGGAATAAATAAAGGGGATGTAAATAGTGTGCTGATAATATCTAGCCTAGACAGGACTCGCAGCAATGGTTTTAAGTTGGAAAAATTCAGATTCAGGAGGGATATAGGAAAGTACTGGTTTGGTAATAGAGTTGTGGATGAGTGGAACCCAAAATCCCAAGTACCTAAAAACTGAGTCATTTGGGACTTGGTAGCTCCCCTCATTTCCCTCTTCATCTTTTTTAAAGTAGGGGCCCAATACGGACGTTTTTTCTCGACTTTGATTTGGCATGGGGGAAAAATATTTTTGGGTTTTTTTTCGATTTCATTTATGGCTTTGTTCTTCCCGCGTTCCCTGACCCTAAAGATTCCTTTAGCTTAAGTTCGATGTTTTGCTTTTTCTCTGACCGTGCTCCCTACGCATTTCAGAAATATTGACCTCTTTAGCCGCTTGTTATTCTTTTCCGTCGCCTGTAAAGGGACGCCGTCTCTTTCTATTTACATCTATCCTCCTTTTTCTTAGATAAAATAAGCCTTTGCATACATCGAGTGCCCCCAAGTTTAATCTGTTCTGGCATAATTTGGGGTCGTTTTTGCTTAGTATACTTCCAGCTTATATCGGTTAGGATTTGGGTTTTACTTGGTCCCACTTTTTTTTTGTTTTGAAATTTGAATTTGGTGAATGCCCCCTTGGATAGCTAAATTATTTTTGTCTGTGGCTCCACCATACAGCTGAACCTCAATTATTTGTGACTGAGTATTTTGTTTTTGATAGGGTTGACATTTTTTATCAGCATCATTGTTATGAAGTGGGTTAGTGTATTCTCCAGCTAGTAGGCCTATTATTTGCGGGTTTTTAAATTAATTTTGTGGAGATTTAAAAGTCGTGTGAGTGTGAGTTTTATCAGAGCTGCCCCCTGGTGTTATTACTGCAAAAATTTATTATTTGCTATTTCCCTCCATTTTAGGTGCCTTAAGTTGAAATCCCCCAGGAGCAAATGTTGGGTGCGGAGCTGGAAGTTTTTCCAACGTGGTCAATTTTTAACAGCGTTCCGGGAAATTTGCTGGATGTTGCACCGGAGGCTTGTAGCCCACAATGGGGTTTTTGGTTCCGACCTTTACTGCTAAAACCTCCACTACATCATTTGGGGCTTAACCCATTAAGCATTTTCTGTAAAACAAGTGATCTGCAATGTACGGGCCCAAACCCCCCCCCCCCCTGTGCCTTTTCCCCCTCTGTCACATCTGTAAGGTTGAAACCCCGGGGGGACCCCAATTTCGTTGTCCAAGTGATCCTTTAGGGGGTCTCAGTGAAACCCGCGCATTGCCTTTGCCTCTGCAAGCACCCCAGGGATAAAGGTTTTTGTTGTTTGTTGCGGGTTTTAACCCTGTATATTTGCAAAAAAGAATGTTATGGACTGGGGGTATTGTTGGTACTGGGGGGGTTTTTTTTTTTCCGGCATTAGTATCTGTATCTTTTTGGTTTTGGAGTGGGGGCCACGACTGGGGTTTCCACCCAGGAATACTGGATTTAGTGTACATTTCGCTTTTCCCTGCCATTTTTTTTTTTTTCCCTTCCCTGGCAAAAAAAAACCTCTCCCTCTTGATGGCTGTGGTACCCAGGTTTCCCCCAGGGCCGGGATGTTTTGTACTTTTTGTCCCCTTTAGATGGTGTGCCTGGCAATTTTAAGTTATAGCACAGCTTTCCTGTACTGGGGGTACACAGTTCGGGGTGAAAAACTTACAGGAAGGGGGTTTGCATTTTCCTTTGTCATAGGGGGCATGGCATTTTTTAAGGGTGGTCATAGTTTGCAGCCCGTCTTTTTTTTCCAGATTTCCCATCCTGCAGTCCCAAATGCAAGTAGTGCACAGGCTTGGGTTTCCGTTTCCCTTTGGTTTTTCTTACTGTTTTCCCCTTTGGGGTGCATGTTTCCCTGTCTTATTCCTACCCCCTAGCACCCAAAAATGGAGCTCCCAAGTTTTTTTGGAAATACCTACATTGCTAGTGGAGTCCTCTGTTTGCTATTCCTTTTGTTTTTTCTAGTTTGCAAATTGGTTTTATCTTATTTTTGACTACACTTGTTTCCCTATACGGCTCCGCCCCCCTAGAGGTCATTTATATGTTTTCCTTCCTGCGTATAATTCCCGATCCCTGACAAAATCTCCACTTCACCATTACTGTCTCCCGGGACAGCACCTCCACTTCACCATACTGTCCCCAGGACGCACATCAGCCCCACATTTACTGACACCAGGCA